CATTTGTATGCTTAGTTGTTTCTTTAATAAATGTGTGTGCCTAAGACTATCTCATGCTTGGATAAAGCTCTAGAAGATGGCAGCATGCCAAATGTTAATAGCAATTATCCATATGGATAGTGATTTCATCTACATTATTAACAAATGAACATTATTAAGTCACAAGAAGAAACAAACACAGTTCTCTTTTTTATTTTAAACCATTAATTAAATGCCCACTGAAAAAAATATGGCAGTTAAAATTATAAAGGTGGCTTTCATTTTATCAGACCTTCTGAACTCAAGACAAACAATAAAATAAGCCTTTCATGCAGTGTCAGTCTACTTGAGCATGATGATGGAGAGAGTGGAGAGGGGGAGTATAAAATACGATGGGCCTTTACTATCCTTTATCAGCTATGATGACCAAAAAATGTTAATACTAATATAGCAGTTACTAAGTGCCAGATATTGTTCTAAGCACTTAACACATAATAAATAACTCACTTGATACTAACAACATTTTGAGATAGATACTATTATAGCTACATTTTATTATATTATATCTACATTTTACAAACTGAGCCTCAGGGAGGTTAAATAATTTGCTCAATTACTTGACTGGTAAGTGGTGGAGTAGAATTTGACCCCAGTGAACAGTCTTGCCCCAGGTTCTGTACTGCACACAGATGAAACAGTTGTCTTTATTAGTTATGGCAGCTGTTGTCAATGGTATTATGAAGAGAAAATATAACATGGAGTGTTTGAAAACTAAATACCTAAATTTTATATTTAAGGAAATCACTGATTTATTAACCAATTTTATTTAAGATAATATTAATCCTTACTATTATTACTAAATTGATTTTGGTTCAAAACAGTTAAGAATGGAATTTGAAACCATTCTATACCTAGGCCAATTGACAACAATTTACAGTATTAAAAGACCTTGACATGTGTAGCAACAGTTAATGCTAAACCCAGGGGAAAGACTATGGTCCAGATGAAAAATAAGCATAAATTGTAAAGCTTAATCAAGAAGAAGGAGCATAAGGAAAGTGCTTATTAAGTACCTCTTAAAATGATAGTCCTCGTGCCCTATATTTTGCACATGCTATTTCATTTAATCCTTAGACTAACTCCGTGAATCAAGTGTTATTATTCCCAATTTAAAACAACAATGAGATTCATTAAAACATAAGACACTTCCTAGGGGCTTAGCAGAATGGTCAAAGTCCAAGTCACGGATTACTCCAAATTTTGGCAAGGATGTGGTTCAACAGGAACTCTCTTCCATTGCTGGTGGAAACACAAAGTGGTGTAGTCACTTTGGAAGACAGGTTCTTATAAAAATGTTCTTACCACATGTGATCCAGCAAATGAGTTCCTTGGTATTTGCCCAAAAGAATTAAAAATTTATATCCAGGGCCTCCCCGGTGGCGCAGCGGTTGAGCGCTGGGTTGCAAAGCTGCCCGCGGCCTCTGCGGCACCAGTTCAATCCCTGGCTGCTCCCCGGCCACCGGAGGAGGATCCCACATGGTGCGCAGACCTCTCCTGCCACCCGCTGCTCCCCTCAGCAGTGTACTTCAGTCCTTCTGCCTGCTCTGCTCCCTGCTCTGGCTCTGGTGAATTCTCTCACCCTCCTGCGCTTCTGACTGTACCCAGTGCATGTATAAACAAAAAAAAAACAAACAAACAAACAAATATAATAAAAAAAATAAAAACATGCCTCTATTAAAAAAAAAAAAAAAAAAAAAGACAAAAAAAAAAAAATTTATATCCACACACATCTGCACATGGGTACTTTTTGCAGCATTATTCATAATTGCCAAAACTTGGTAGCAACCAAGATGTCCTTTGGTGGATGGATAAACTGTGGCCTATTCAGTAAAGGAAGATGATTCATCTTTAAAAAATAAATGAATTATCAAGTTGTGAAAAAACATGGAGGATTCTTAAATGCATATTACTTAATGAAAGAAGTCAGTCTGGAAAGATTGTGTATACAGGATTTCAACTACATGACATTTTGGAAAAGGCAAAAGAATGGAGACAACAGGGGCCACCCTGGTGGTGCAGAGATTAAAGACAGCACTATCAAGCTACTGCCAGCCTCTGCAGCATGAGTTTGATTCCCGGCCAGCCAGGGAGCTAACCCACATGGCACAGCAGACCTTTCCTGTCTCACCTGCTGCTCCCCTCAGCAGTGTATTTCAGTATATCTGCCTGTTCTGCTCCTCACTCTCTCTAGTGAATCCTTTCACCCCACCCTCCACACCTTTGGCCTGTACCCCAGTTCTTGTATGCATAAATAAATAAATCTTAAGAAAAAAAAAGAATGGAGACAGTAAAAAAGATCAGTGCTTACAAGAATTAGGGAGAGTAAGGAATGGATAGCTGAAACACAGGGAATAATTAGGGTGGTAAAATTATTATTCTGTATGCTACAACTGTGACTATATGTCATTATACATTTATCCAAATCCATATAATTTGTTGCACCAAGATTGAGCCCTAATCTAAATTGTGGATTTGGGGTGATGTTCAATGACCAATAATCATTGATCATATCAGATGTAGCACTCTGGTGAGGGTGATGGCAATGGTGGAGTTTGTGCATGTGTAGAAACAGAGGATATTCAGTACTTTCCACTCAACTTTGCTATGAATATAAAACAGCTTAAAAAAAAATAGTCTACTTTAAAAAAGCAACCCCTCCCAAAAGAACACACACTTTCCTGCAAAAAAGACATCTCACCAAGTCTAAAAACTTGCAATACCTTACTCTAGTTATTACCATGCTTTCCACGGTTGGCAAGATATCTAAATTTCTCCTGAAGTATGTAACTGGGTTAAAATTAACATTTTGAATCTTCATGTGATTTTTTTCTTTTTTCCTTTCTCTTTTTTTTTTCTGCAGATGATAATTATTGCCATAATCATGGAGCAGGAAAGCAAAATTGCTATCTTAAAAATAAATAAATAAAACTTAATGTAGCTGCTTTTTTATTCTTGGGAAATTGTTTTGTATTTAGGTAGCTGCTTTGATGAGCCTTTTCATTACGCAGAAAAGGTCTATGTTAATCTGGATAAGAAAGGTTGTGATTTAAAAGGAATAAACTACTCTGTATAATAAAGTAAGAGGAGTTTTTAGTGTGTTATTAGAAGTACTAAAGGCAAGAGTTTGGGGTTATGAGCTTAATGAAAAGAGGCATGAGGAAGGTTTCTTTAAAGGAGTAGCAGTTCTGAGGAAATGTGTCAGGTCTAGAGAGAGCAAGAAAAAGTACGAAAGAACCATAATGGACCCACTCACATTAGGGAAAATAAGGAACTTTAGAAACAGTTGCCTGGTACAAGTTAGTATCAGTTGTCTCTCTAATAATCAATTTTAAGCTGATTATTATATTAATTGTTAATTCTCTTTTGTTATGCCAGAAACATCAGTGAAAGATTACATTGGACAATATCACCACAAGTCTGTGAGGGGAAGAACTACATGGGGGTTGGTAGTACTGGCACACAGAGCACATCAGAAGCAGGACAGCAGCTGGTAGTAGTCAAGTCAAAAGGACTAAAAACAGAGGCAGTTTGTGAAGTGTAGAGCAGCTTGGAAAGAGAGGTGACAAAATGCAAGCAGAATATATGACTGGAGCCATCTTTATTGGGCTCTATTTTATGCTACCTCTTCAGAGAGGCCTTTTTTGATTCCTTCTTTGATGAAAAGTAGAACCATACAAGCCAAAATTCATTACCCTACTTTTTTTTTTATATTACTTATCATTCTTCATTTGTATATATGTCTTTCTCAGCTGAGAGTAATTCTGTCCCCCAGGGACATTTGACAATGTTTAGAGATATCTTTGGTTGTCACAACTGAAGAATATTCTACTGGTACCCCACGGGGAGAGGTCAGGGATGCCAATCAACATCATAGAGTACTAGGACAGTCCCCAAGAGCAATTACCTGGCACCACATGTCAGTAGTGCTGGGTTGAAAGTGCATTAAAAGGAAAATTCCTAGTGGAAAGGAATATTTTGTGTCTTGTATATCCATGCTACTTATATAGGACTTGGTACATAGTACATACTCAATACGTATTAGTTAAAAAGTTGATGATCATTTCAGTCCTTGCTTTTGCAGCTTGTAATGAGAAGCAGTTTCTCCTGACCATATATTTGCTCCCCACTACATGTCTGTCTCTCCAGTTTGGATCAGAGCAATAATATAAAACATGTGAAGAGACTGCTTTCCTATGCAGACAAACTAGACCTCCTTCCACAGCATTTAATCCTGAAATTTCCCTCCACTTAATCATATACTTATAAGTATAGGAGTAGGGCAATGAGAAATATCACACTTATTTGAGTTGGGGGTTTGCAAAGAGAGTTCTAGGCACTTTTATCCTCAAGACTGGGATAGAAGGATGCATGGCAAGTATGCTGACAACTGAGCAAAGCTGTGCTTGCAATCTAGGTGAAGATCTGCAGAAACTGCAAACACACCAACCTCCCACCCCACAGCTCTAACCACCCAGCATCCGGTCATAAGCCAAGGTTATGTTTCTTCATTAACACCATATCACTTAGCACTCTTCTAAGAATATCTCTATTTTGGACTGACTTTTTTTTTTTTTTTTTTTTGCTGACATCCTCTGCAATCTAGTATAATTCAGTGCTATCACACCTCTCCAACTTTCAAGAAAACTGCAATTAACATTTCAGAATTATAAAGAAATATGTCTAAAATTAGTGGCCTGGAAGGAAGTGAGAAAGAGAATTCAACAATAGAATAGTCATTTTCAAAACTTCCCACAAGTATTCTTCCATTTATAAAATCAAAATTAAAATGACAGGAAATTAAAATTTTTGTTTTTATATAACTCACGGAAAACAGTATGGTGGTTTGGACCAAATATCAAAGAATTTGACAGTCATAACTAAAAAGATATGCTAGGAAATAGTCCACATAACAACCAAACATGAATTGAGGTCAAGACATCATCAATGAGTCTTTGAGTTACCTGGTTTTCTTTTTGGTCCCACTGACATATCTGTAGAACTTGACCCAATTCTTGTTGCTGTTGTTTCAGGTACTTGTCTAGCTGCCGTCTCCTATCTTGTAGAACTTCAAGAAGGCTGTCAATCTTCAGGCAGCTGTTATGAGCTCCTTGAATCAACTCAGGATTTACATTAGGTCCACCACATTTGAATTTTTCTATGAAGTCAGTGAGTTGTTGACTTTTGTTTAAAAGGGCTAGTGATCGTTCTAAGAGTTCTAGAAGCAAAGAAGAAAAAAAAAGAATAGTAATATGAGCAAGTTTTTATATAGTAATATTCAGGCTCTTCATATAATTTAAAATATATATAACCCTTGTATTTATAATAAGTTGTACAGCAAGGAATTAATGTATAAACATAAAATGTCTGCAATACAACTGGTCAAATACATCAGTCTAACAGTTCTATAGTATTAACTGACAAATGGAGAATGCTGAAATTCAGCAATAATGTAATTCAGGATAGGGAATAGAAAGACCACAGAATTTGGGCACTAGTTTAGTCTACTTTTAATATTATAATGCTGGTTAAAGTCACTACTTGAGGATGGAATCAAATGAGGAAATTATTATTATACAGTGTGCTAGATGGTATAACAGAGGCACTCAGGAGGCAGAGAGAACTCACTGCCAGAGGCATACATGTCCCATCGAACTACAGGCTTCCTGAGGTCTCCCCCAACACATGTCTTTCCGGGTTTCTCATCTGTCATGGGTTCAGAAAATATTGTTTAACTACATGATGCTGAATTGAGGGTAACCATGCTGGTAAATGGACCTTAACTAGACATTTTTCACTGAAAGGAGAAAAGACTGGGGAGGACATGTTAGGCTTTAACTAGTTTGAGGATTATCATGAGGAAGAAGAGACTAATACTGAAACATCAAAGAGAGTAGAAACTTCAACCCTTTCATCCTGATTCAGACCTCTGCAATGTTAAACATGCAACACAAATTTAGTATTGCTGAATAAGGAAAAATCACAGAGGAAGCTAACAGAAGTGAAGTGAATATGAGGGATGTTTGATTATGGTTATTAACCATTGTCAGCCTTACTCTCATATTAGTGATAGATACTGATCAATATCTCAGAATTTTATTAGAAATACTAGCCATGTTTATAGAATATTTATAGTCTCCAAAAATCATATGTTGAAAACTGAATACCTAACGTGATGGTGTGCGGAGGTATGGATTTTGTGTGGTGCTTAGGTCATGAGGGTGGAGCCCTATGATTAGTATTCTTATAAAAGAGATCCCACAAAGCTTCCCCAACCCTTCCACCATGAGAAATCTGCAAACCAGAAGAGGCAGCCCAATAGGCTGTGGTGAATGACTACTGGTACTTTGGTGGTGAATATGGTGTCATAACATACACCTGAAAAGGTGTGAACATATACTCTGAAATCATAAAATATGTTGTAAACCAATGTTACCTTAATAAAAAATAATAAATTTATAAATATATAATTAAATTTCTGCTGTTTATAAGCCACCCAGTCTGTGGTATTTTATTATAGCAGCCCAATAGGTTTAGATAGATAACTGAAAAATCAGGATTTTGTTCTTGAATATGCATTCAAATCAGCTAATCTTAATCACATCTAACGGAAATAGTTGATTAATAAATTTCACGAATTCCTGTTATATAAAAAGGAAGCCCCTGAAGCCACATTACACATTGCAATGTGAACTGGACACCAAATAACAACGGAAACAAGGGAACTCTTATCAGGGGTTCCCTCTAATCCCTGTGCTTCAGGGAACACAAAAATGTAGAGATAAACATGCCATCAGAATGGAAAAATATTTTGTCATCATAAAAATAAATGATGTTTCCTATCTTGAGCTAGCATTTTTTTGCATATCTTCAGATTAAGAGGTGCTCCTGTGCACTGCCAAAGGCTATACCCTGAGAGGTAGGACAATGGTTCCACTGTGAGCTGCATGGGGCATAATAGTTTGACACCCACAACGAAAGCAGAGTGTGCTCTGCCAAAGATTCTAGTACATTTGAAGGAGACAACAAAACAGCATTCTAGCCACTTCTCTCCAGCTCCATCCCCAAATATTTGTGGAAAAGTCTCTACTTTCTCAATTCCCTAATCCCCAAGGAAAATGTTTTCATTTAATTGTCTCAGTATTAAATCTTTTCAACAAGAGCATCAATCACTGTCAGGTCTCAGAGGTAAATTTCTAATCTGTTATCTAGGGTCCTTTGAAGGGTAGTATAGCACACCTATCTGTGGTTTTTAAGAACACTGCCCTGGTGGCATGATGAGACTCATACAGCCAGGAATCCAGGAAGTGACAAGTGAGTTAAGGAAGCCATTCCACTCATCCCAATTCTGTTTGGCTGTAATACTTAGGAAAATGAATTAAGAAGAAAAGAAGTGATCTCACCTATCTATCTAACCTGCTCCCACAGAACAAAATTACAGTAAACAGTTACACTTTTACGAATGCCTTCCCTGTCCCCATCTTGCTCATGCCAAATTCTAGTAGAAGAGGTTTAGCAAGAAAACTATTGGTTAACAACCAGACTATCTTTATCTGATCAAAGGAAGTTGAAAAACATTTTGTATAGGGTTTTATTAGATATTCATATGGGGAAAGTTTACAAGTCCTTTTTAAAAACTGCAATAGGGCCTCCCCAGGGGTGCAGTGGATTGAGCACTGCGCTGTGAAGCTGTCCGCAGCCTCTGCAGCATGGGTTCGATTCCCCGCCAGCCAGGGAGAAACCCATATGGTGCAGCAGACCTCTCCTGTTGCGCCCACTGCTCCCCTCAGCAGTGTCTTTGGTCCGTCTGCCTTTTTCTGCTGCCCTCTCTGTCTCTGGTGAATTCTCTCATCCTCCTGCACCTCTGACCTATACCCCAGTTCTTGTATAAATAAATAAATCTTAAAAAAAAAAAAAAAACAACTATGGAGAATTACAATAAAGTAGCATAAAAAAATAAAAACTAGGCCTCCCCAGTGGCGCAGCAGTTGAGCGCTGGGTTGCGAGGCTGCCCGCAGCCTCTGCAGCACTGGTTCGATCCCTGGCCGCAGGGTGAGGGTCCCACATGGCACGCAGACCTCTCCTGCCGCCCGCTGCTCCCCTCAACAGTGTATTTCATTGGTCTGCCTGTTCTATTCCCCACTCTGGCTCTAGTGAATTCTATCACCCTCCCGCGCTTCTGACTGTACCCACTGCTTGTATAAATAAATAAATAAATCTTTAAAAAATAAAATAAAAAATAAAAACTGCAATAGTTGAGAGGGGGCGGAGCAACATGGCGGCGAGGAGACGCTGCGAGTAAGATCTCCCATTAAAAAAAGTTAATAGGGAGGAAAAGCGGCAGGTCCCAGTGAGAACTGGGACACGGAAGATAAACGGGTGACGCCAGCAAACTACCCGAAGAAGAAAGTGGCCATAAAAGAGGACTAGAAGGGAGGGAAGCGCAGAACCCTGCTCCCCTCCCCCGCCCACAGAGGCGGCACTCTCCGACCCGCAGAGAGGAGGAAAACAACAAACCAAAACGGCCAACAAGAACAAACGATGCAGCAAGCGGGGCTGTGAGTGTGCAGCCACCACACCCCGTGAACGGGAGCTGAGGCGAACCCTGCAGGATTTGCCGCGGCAGTGAGCGAACGGCTCCGGGGCGCCATTAGAGAAGAACAAAGACCCCGGGAGACGTGCACACAGCCCGGGCTGCCGGTAAGCTTGCGCGGGAAAGCGGCGCGCTTGCCGCGCTTGAAAAGCAAATGCAGACCTGGATCACGGCTGCCCAGGTCCCCGAGCCTGCGACCTAGGCTTGCGGGGAGACGCGCGGAGGTCCTCACTGAGGTGAAGGTCCCTCCCTGAGTAAGCAGGAACCAGGCGCCCAGGCACGGGAGCTGTGCAAAAGGCGCCATTCCCGCGCCACTGAACTGGGCTACAGCCCTCGTCCTGGAACTGAGGGCTTTGAACTGAGACCCGGGGCACGAAAATTTGGGGCGTGGGTTCTCCACGACGGTGGGGCACAAGGCAGACACAGCACCCCAAAGCTGTTGAGGTGTACCCTACCATTCCCGCTCTGTTCCCTGTCCCACGGGGTGGGGGGAGGCGAAAAACAGCCCCCCAAGGACAATAGGAGAGATCTCTGGCGCCACCTAGCAACCAGGAAAAAAAAGTCACTAACACCCCATAGAACAGGAAATTTCTTAAGACTGCTTGAAAAGGGCAGAAGGTTTCTGGAGGACCCAGTGGCCAGCCGGGAAGTTAGCCCACCCCACGCCAGGCCCCTTCCGACCAGCAGTCTGAGCCCACAGAAGGAGCAGGCACCCACGTCCGGGGCAGACCGGGGGCGCAGAAGAGTGTGCCTGAAACCGGAGGCGCAGGGACTGCATCCCGCTTTGCCATTTTAGAACAGGGATATTTCTTCAGTAAAAACTGCCTAAAACCAGCAGAAAACTCCCCCAGAACACAGAGATGGCTCCTGGAAGAGCCAGAGGGGAGCGGAGAAGTTCACCCAAGATGCCAGTCAGTCCGAGCAACACAGTGTCCCAACGCATACGACAAATTAGAAAACAGACAGTAGGGAGTAGAAGAACCACACGCAACCTAACAACTCCTCAGGAAAGAAGCACACCACAAAAAGAAAACCACTCCCCAGATTGCAATGCAGCAACTTGGAAGAACTTCTGAGCCTTCCAGAAAGAGAATTTAAAATTGCCATGATTAAAAAAGTGATAGAAGTCATAAAGGAAAACAATGATCAGAAGAAGGAAATTGAGTCCCTAAAGAGGGAAAACAATGGTCAGAAGAATGAAATTGAGTCCCTAAAGAGGGAAGTAAAAGAAATGCAGGAGATCAAAGAATTAATGGAGGAACTAAAGAACTCTGGGAAAAGCAATGAAAGCAGAATAGATGAAATGGAAGAACGAATAAGTACTCTTGAAGACACAGAAATAAAAAGAACCAAAACAGAAAAGGAAAGAGAAGTACGAAGGAAAAAGAATGAAGAAAGACTTCGGGAACTATCTGACTCCATGAGGAAAGGAAATATAAGAGTTATAGGAATTCCAGAAGGAGAGGAGAGAGATGTAGGAACAGAGAAAATATTCCAGGAGATAATTGAAGAGAACTTCCCAAATGCGAAGAAGGAGCTGAAAATTGATATACAAGAAGCAAGAAGAACACCAAACTTCCACGACGAAAGGAAAAACACAGCAAGACACATAATAGTAAAGCTCCCAAGAATCCAGGACAAGGAAAAAATAATGAAGCTGACAAGAGGGAAGAAACAGATAACATTCAAAGGAAAACCAATCAGGCTGACATCAGACTTCTCTGAAGAAACACTACGGGCAAGGAGAGAGTGGAGGGACATAGTCAACAGACTCCAAGAAAACAGATGCCAACCAAGAATACTCTATCCCGCAAAGCTCTCTTTTCTCCATGAAGAAAGAATATGGACCTTCCCAGACAAAGAGAAACTCCGTAATTTCATTATGACTAAACCCCCACTCCAAAAAATACTACAAGGAATCCTAAAGCCAGAACCTCAGAGGGACGAATAACAACGAAAGAAGACCAAAAAAAAAAAAGTTATTAAAAGAATAAATAAATAAAATCAAAGGAAAGACAAACATAATGGCAAATACAGATGCTAACATATCAATATTAACTCTAAATGTAAATGGACTAAACTCTTCAATAAAAAGACACAGAGTTGCAGCCTGGATTAAGAAACAAAACCCAACCTTTTGCTGTCTCCAGGAAACACATTTAGCTACAAAAGATAAAAATAGGCTCAAAGTCAAAGGATGGAAAGCAATCCTACAAGCAAATGGGCCAAAAAAGAAAGCAGGAACAGCTATACTTATATCAGATAAAACAGACTTCAAACTCAAAAAAATAAAAAGAGACCCCAATGGTCACTACATTATGATTAAGGGGACAATACTTCAAGAAGAAATAACACTCATTAACATATACTCACCAAACGAAAGAGCACCAAAATATATCAGACAACTGTTGTCCTCTCTGAAAACAGACATCAGAGAAAACACATACGTAGTGGGAGACTTCAACACACCACTATCAACAATGGATAGATCAACAAGACAAAAAATAAGTAAAGAAACTAAAGCTCTAAATAAGGACCTAGAGCATTTGGGCTTAACAGACATCTATAGAACACTAAACCAAAAAAAACGGAGTACACATTTTTCTCAAGCGCACACGGATCATTCTCCAGGATTGATCACATACTGGGGCACAAGACAAACATCAACAGATACACCAAGATTGAAATCATACCAACCATCTTTTCTGACCACGAAGGCATCAAACTAGAAATAAATCATACAAAGAAGGCAAGGAACTATCCTACCTCATGGAGATTAAAAACCACACTACTGGAAGACCACTGGACTAACAAGGAGATCAAAGAAGAAATTAAAAAATTCTTTGAATTGAATGACAAGGAGGACACCAATATCCTAAATGTATGGGATGCAGCAAAAGCAGTAATAAGAGGAAAATATATAGCAATAGAAGCTCACATCAAAAAACAAGAAAGAACTCAAAGAAACAACCTAATCTTGAAGCTCAAAGATCTAGAAAAAGAACAACAAAAAAACCCCAAAACCAGTAGAAGAAAAGAAATAATAAAAACCAAAGCAGAAATAAATGAAATTGAAACTAAAAAAACAATCCAAAAGATCAATGAAACCATGAGCTGGTTCTTTGAAAAAATCAATAAAATAGACAAACCCCTAGCCAGGCTCACAAAGGAAAAAGGGAGAAAGCACAAATACACAGGATCATAAATGAAAGAGGAGAAATCACAACGGACACAGCAGAAATCAAAAGAATAATCAGTAACTACTATGAACAGTTATATGGAAACAAGTTCAACAATCTAGAGGAGATGGACAAATTCCTACAACTCTACAATCACCCAAAGCTAGATAAAGAAGAAATAGAACACCTAAACAGACCAATTACAAGCAGCGAAATTGAAATGGTAATCAAAAACCTCCCCAAAAACAAAAGCCCAGGACCTGATGGATTTACAAATGAATTCTACCAAACATTCAGAGACGAATTAGTGCCTATCCTTCACAAACTCTTCCAAAAAATTGAGAAGGAAGGGACAATACCAAACACGTTCTATGAAGCCAATATTACACTAATACCAAAACCGAATAAGGACAACACAAAAAAGGAAAACTATAGGCCAATCTCCCTAATGAACACTGATGCAAAAATCCTCAATAAAATTTTAGCTATCAGAATCCAACAATGTATCCATAAGATAATTCACCACGACCAAGTTGGATTCATTCCAGGGGCACAAGGATGGTTTAACATCCGAAAATCAATCAACGTTATCCAACACATCAACAAAAAGAAATATAAAAACCATATGATAATATCAATAGATGCTGAGAAAGCTTTTGACAAAGTGCAACACCCATTCATGATAAAAGCCCTTGAAATTCTTGGGATACAAGGAACATACCTCAACATCATAAAGGCCATCTATGACAAGCCAACAGCCAGTATCATTCTCAATGGTGAAAAGCTGAAAGCAATTCCATTAAGATCTGGAACAAGACAAGGATGTCCACTGTCACCACTGCTTTTCAATATAATACTGGAAGTCCTAGCCAGAGCAATAAGACAAGAGAAAGACATCCAAGGAATCCAAATAGGAAAAGAAGAAGTCAAACTATCACTATTTGCAGATGATATGATAATATACATAGAGAACCCCAAAATCTCCACAGAAAAACTAATTCAACTCATCAATCAATTCAGTAAAGTGGCAGGATACAAAATCAACACGCAAAAGTCAGTAGCCTTCCTATACACAAACAATAAATCTGAAGAAGAAGAAATCAAAAAAGCCATCCCTTTTATTATCGAAACAAAAAAAATCAAATATTTGGGAATAAATCTAACAAAAGAGGTAAAGGACCTATACAAAGAAAACTATAAAACACTGTTAAAAGAAATAGAAGAAGACACAAAGAAATGGAAAGACATCCCCTGCTCATGGATTGGAAGAATAAACATTATTAAAATGGCCATCCTACCAAAAGCAATATACAGATTCAATGCTATTCCAATCAAAATCTCAATGGCATTCTTCAAAGAAATAGAACAATTATTGATGAAATTCATATGGAATCACCAAAAACCCCGAATAGCCAAAGCTCTACCGAAAAAAAAAGAAGGGAATGGAGGCATCACACTCCCAGACTTCAAACTATACTACAAAGCCATAATCATCAAAACTGCATGGTATTGGCACAAGAACAGACATACAGACCAATGGAATCGAATAGAAAATCCAGAAATAAACCCACAGATTTATGGTCAACTAATCTTTGACAAAGGAGCAAAGACTATGCATTGGAGCAAAGAAAGTTTGTTCAATAAATGGTGCTGGGAAAACTGGGTCGCTACATGCAAAAGAATGAAGCTTGACCACTACCTCACACCATACACAAAAATCAACTCAAAATGGATTAAAGAACTAGACATAAGACCTGAAACCATAAAATACATAGAAGGAAATATAGGCGAAACACTACGGGATTTGCACATCAAAGACATCTTTACAGACACATCACCCAAAGCAGTGATAGTGAAGGCAAAGATAAACAGCTGGGACTACATCAAATTAAAGAGCTTCTGCACAGCAAAAGAGACAATAACAAAAACAAATAGAAACCCCACCAACTGGGAGAACATTTTTGCACCCAACACTAATGATAAAGGACTGATCACAAAAATCTGCAAAGAGCTGATGAGACTCAGCAACAACAAAGAAAATAACCCAGTCAAAAAATGGGCAGAAGAGCTAAAAAGAAACTTCTCTGAAGAGGAAATGCAAATGGCCAACAGACATATGAAAAAATGTTCAACATCACTTGTAATCAGGAAAATGCAAATCAAAACTACCATGAGATACCATCTCACACCAGTGAGAATGGCACATATTAAAAAAACTAGCAACAACAAATGTTGGCGAGGGTGTGGAGAAAAAGGAACTCTTCTGCACTGTTGGTGGGAGTGCAAACTGGTCCAACCTATGGAGAGCTTAGTGGAGATTTCTGGACCTACTAAACATAGAGCTTCCATATGATCCAGCAATTCCACTCCTAGGTATTTACCCAAAGGACACAGAAACATCAATTCCAAAGAGCACCTGCATCCCTATGTTTATAGCAGCACTGTTTACAATAGCTAAGCTTTGGAAACAGCCCAAATGCCCAAAAACAGATGACTGGATCAAGAAGATGTGGTACATATATACCATGGAATATTACTCAGCATTCAAAAAAGATAAACACATGCAATTTGCAGCAACATGGATGGCGCTGGAAGGGATCATGCTCAGCGAAATAAGCCAAAAAGAAAAAGAAAAATACCGGATGGTCTCACTCATAGCAGGAATCTAGAAAACTTAAATAAGGGACCAGGAAAATGAATATAAGAAAGTGAAAATCAAAATCAACAAAAAACTATGAACCAGAGACACTCTTTGGGGGGTGGGGGGCAGGAGGGGAAGGATTGGGGTCAGAATGGGGCGTTTGCAATTGTATGGGGGAATATAAAAATAAAATTTATTATTTAAAAAAAAAAACTGCAATAGTTGAAAGAGATTTTCCTTACATAGAGCTGACTTTCATGTACTAACCCTTAAAAGAAGCAAGCACTGAATTCAACTGTTTATCCAAACAAGCAATATTTCTTGAGGATCCACCACATGCAGGCAGCTTGCTAGATGTTGAAGATACAAGCAAGAATAAGCAGAAATCACCCCTATCCTCAGCAAGTAAAGTCTAACTGACTTTCCTAAAGCTCATCCTCTGTCATCCTCATAGAGTGTTTACAATTAGTTCTTGCTTGCATAGGATGGTCAAAAATTAAAGCATTATTTGGGAAAAATTGAGATGTACATAAACAGATAAATTCAAAAATACAATATCAAACAGGAACATTCTCATATTAACATTATTTTAAAACATGAAAAGCTTATAATGTTAAGTAAATATATTTCTTGCCTTTGGTATGATGCTCATGAAGCCGAAGAAGTGATTTTAAGGACTCAACATTCTCAAACTCTTGAGTGTTCTGGAGAAAGTCTTCTGTTTGGTCTATTTTAATAGCAAACTACAACAGAAATAACAGAAATACAGGGAAAAGATACTTGAAAAATAAAAATCAAAACTCCACTTTTAGATCCTTGTCGCTATTTTCCATGTATTACTGGCCTAGCTGATTGTGTATGTGTTTGTCTGACACTGTATATGCTTGTGTGAGTGTGTGCTGACTTATGTTTTTTGTTTAAGGAGGTATACAGTCATTTTACAAAGTGCCAAACTAAGAACTTTCTTCACGTACTCTTGCATTCTTTCATCCCTAGAAAAATTTCATGTATGCTGAAATAAACTAAATTACTTACTGTTCAAATATCTATTAAACAGTTCAAAAAATTGTGTCCTACAGAATGAAAGCAGCTATTTTCAACATCCCAAGGCAGTTTGTCAAAGAATAACCAGAAATTTTGCTAAGAAAATCCTATAAAATTTTGACTAAGCAATAACTCACAAAATTCTAAGTTAATTTAATAAGATAAATTTAATATTTTTTCTCTATGAATAGACTTAGAAACAAAAAATGCAACTTTCAGAACAACACATAACTTAATCTCATTTTTACAATTGATCATACCAATACAGATAAGAAGCAATGTCTAATTTCATTTCTTATACAAAATACACACACACACACAAACACACACAAATTAGTCTGCATTAGTGGTTACCAGAAGGAAAGGGGGAAGGAGGGTGGGTAAATCAGGTTAAAGGCATAAATTGTTTGGTTAAGGATAGAACTGGACTTTTAGTGAGCTTTATGTAGTATTTATATACAGAGATTGATTCATAATGATGTATACCTGATTATTGCAATAAAAATTTTTTAAGGAAAAAAAAAAGGAAGTGATTGGAAAAGATATATACCAAAGGGTGAATTCTATGAAAAATAATGATATTAGAGATGGGTGAGGGAAGGTGACATTTTAGCCTTTACATTTATAATTTATGATTTCATTAGCATTTTATCAATAATTGTATGAATCATTTATATAAATAAAAATGAGAGTTGATACAGCAAGAATAAAAATGGAAAACTTCTTGATTTCAAAAGAATGGTATAGCACTTTGATACCCTAAATGTGAGAAATATAACCCATCTCTCTTTTCATGTTTTTCTGTGAAGAAAGCATGAGGAGGAGATGTTTGAAATGATAATAAAATCCTCTGGGGAATAAACTTAGAAACAAATTTCAGTAGACAACAAAAATATTTGTTTATGCTACTACTCCATATCCATAGTGGTAAACAAATAGCATGCTTACTTTAGCACTAAGATTAGAAAGTAATTATTATAATTTTTTAAAGATTTATTTATTTATTTACATAAGCACTGGGTATAGTCAGAAGCTTGGGAGGGTGAGAGAATTCACCAGAGCCAGAGTGGGGAGCAGAACAGGAAGACTGACAAAGTACACTGCTGAGGGGAGCAGTGGGCACAGCAGGAAAGGTCTGTGCGCCATGTGGGACCCTCGCTGGTGGCCTGGGGTTGAACCGGTGCTGCAGAGGCCATGGACAGCTTCACAGCCCAGCGCTCAACCACTGCGCTACCGGGGAGGCCCAATTATAATTATAAGAACATATTAATCAACATGTTCACCTTTGGATCAGTAGGGAATAAATTCATAAAGTGAGAAAGACACATTCTTATTCTCTTTGTGAAGTTTTCTCCAAACTAACATATTTGAATTAATGATTTCTATTATTTTTATTAACAGGCTCTATGGTATTTTGACTATTACAATAGTCATAAAAACTAGTTATAAATTGCCTGGGATGATGAAAGACTGATGAACAAATGCCTGTTTGGAATGCAGAGCAGACATCCACCCTCCTGTTAGAGTGACCTAATGAACATTGGCCACAGCTACTTAGGACATGTTCCTGAATTGTAACTCAGAGCTTAATAAGAGAATAACCTATCTAATGATTAAGTCTGTGACCCTTAAACTGACTGTGATCATGATGAACCATGCAATAAGAAGTTCTATTATATTTCTTTTTTAAAAAAAAAAAAGATTTATTTATACATACAAGCACTGGGTACAGTCAGAAGCTTGGGAGGGTGAGAGAATTCACCAGAGCCAGAGCAGGGAGCAGAGCAGGCAGAAGGACCGAACTGCACTGCTGAGGGGAGCAGCGGGCAGCAGGAGAGGTCTGCGCACCATGTGGGACCCTCCTCTGGTGGCCGGGGAATAGCCAGGGATCGAACCGGCGCTGCAGAGGCTGCGGGCAGCTTTGCAACCCAGCGCTCAACCGCTGCGCCACTGGGGAGGCCCCTATTATATTTCTAAGGAATTCCTGTATATGGATAGTTCAATAAGGGGACCCTGTCCGCCCATCATTTATATCCCTAATTCATTCCATTTCTAGCAACTGATTTTAAGGATGTTTTAAACATAAAAAGCTTCCTTAGGACTACCTGGTGGCACAGGGGTTAAAGTCAGCACTATCAAGCTATCCACAGCCACTGCAGCACAAGTTCGATCCCTGGCCAGGGAGTTAACCCACATGGCACAGCAGACCTCTCCTCTCTCCTTTTGCTCCCCTCAGTAGTATATTTCAGTCAGTCCATCTGTTCTGCTCCCCACTCTGTCTCTGGTGAATCCTCTTACTACCCTCACCTCTGGCCTATACCCCAGTTCTTGCATGCATAAATTAAAAATAATTCTTTTTTTAAAAAAAGCTCCCCTTAGTTCTATTAACTCTTATGAATATTTTCTTTTCCCCATTTTTCTTCTCTCTGCAGCTTATACAAGACAGAAGTGGTAATGGGGGACACTTATCAAAGAGCCTATTCTTAATTTCACCTTCATCTTTGTTTTTAATCATTAATGAAAATTGCTTTGGCACAGATGGGGCAGAAAAAAATTATGTAGGAGTTTGAATTCATCTTAGTACGAAATGGTCTATAAAACTGGGCAGAATGATTGATATAAGAAACAATTGTCTTTTCACTAAGAATCAGAGTCCTTGGTTAAATTATTATTGAGTTACTACATCCATTTATTTAATTCTATCTGAAAGTAATTTCTCATCACTGAGAAAACCAGTTAGCTTTAGCGCTACGTCCAAGTGAGAAACAAATATTGAGTCTAATGTTCGAAATAAAATAACTTCCTATCTTCAAACAAGTTCTATTTTAAGGACAGTTGATGCCTGTCTCCCACTTACTAAGAAGGGTTGAATCAGATATATTTATAACTTGATGCCTGTAGGTGTATTTAACATGGTTTATTTCTCTTCAGGAAAGAAAACTACATATGGAACTTCTTCCCAAGATGATTAAATAAATTGTGAGTTGGACTTCAGAATTTGAATTGTGGGAAACAAACTTGAAAGCTACAATGAGGTTTTTGCTTCTTTTCACTTTTGTCTGCATGATGCATGAGATTGTTTACATCAATTTTTATGTTCTATTGCTAATCTTCTTTCCTTCATTATTCTAGATTTAAGTCTTGAATTTTCAGTTTGAAAATGTCATATTTTTCAAAGCTATTGCTTTATCATAATGAAACATTGCTCTCACATCAAAATGAATGTACTGCTACTTGACAGAGAAGTTAAAAGTAAAGTTTCCAATAACTATCTTATATCAACTGTAACACCTTTTTGACAATATTCTTTGAGGCTCACATTTTGAAATTGAGAACCTCAAGAAAATCACAGGATTTCTTTTTATGCTCAGAACTTTTTCCTGCCTTTATTTTAATAATCTCAATCTATGGAATCCGAACTGAATGCCTTGGGTAAGTACTCTATAAAATGTTATGCTTACAAGTCAAATATTCTATGGAATATTCTGCAACTGCATTTTCTAAGCAGCAAAAATAATCTTAACTTTCGGCCAACAAGAACACTCTAGGCCAACATTTTCTAATTATAAACCCCCTATAAACTGGGGGTAATTTTTGATTTAGTGATGTTTTAAAACTTCCAAAGAGGAAACTTTCCAAAGAGGAAAATACCTAGACTTACAGATGCAAGATCCCATTTTTATTTAATATTTTACATAATTTCAATTAACTATACTTAATTTTTGTAAAGACCTCCATAAAATATGATAATCAAACACTAAATGCATTATATATGTGTCAATACAGATATCAGTTATTTTGCCATTTTTTAACTGATTGGTATGTCTATTTGTGGAAATAAAATATTTTCAAGAGTGCTATCCATTTGCACTGATGTGGAAATGAGAATCAAAAAACAAAAGAAAACACAAACCTGCAAGGCATTTTCAAAAAATTCAGAGGTCAACCTAAGGAGCACCCTCCTTCCTTCAAGTGTGGAGACCAAGGCTTCCCACGCTTCACCCAGGGTGTCGGCCATGGCATCGTAGACCTGACTCTGATCTTTATTCTCTTCAGCTGTCTTATCTGCTTCCTGCAAGAGTTCCCATACCTGGTTTTCCAAAGCCTAAGGAAAGAAAAGCATCACGTCACTCACTGTAAGAATACAAGATCATATTTTGGATATTTGGAAGTATATGTGGTCTAGAAAGGTATAGGAGAGATTTTATAAACACAAACTGCTATGCAGGCAGAGATATCAAGCAGGCAGGTGGGAGCAATGATGATTGTGGCAAACTAGGGAGCATGGTCAGGCTAAAGGCATTCACATTTAAACACTGCTCAATGTATAAATTTATCAAAAGTACATGTCTACCGGGCCTCCCTGGTGGCGCAAGGGGTTAAGCACCGCACTGTGAAGCAATCTGCAGCCTCTGCAGCACAAGTTCGATCCCCGGCCCGCCAGAGAGAAACCCACATGACGAAGCAGACCTCTCCTGTCTCGCCTGCCACGCCCTTCAGCAGTGTGTTTCAGTTGGTCTGCCTGTTCTGTTCCCCACTCTGTCTCTGGTGGATCCTCTCACCCCCTGGATCTCTGGCTTGTACCCCAGCTCTTGTATCCATAAACAAATAAATCTTAAAAAAAAAAAAAGTACATGTCTACATTCTCACAGGTATAGAATACTGTGTTGTCCTCACAATTTCAAAAATGAAGAAAGGTAGAACACATTAGGAGAGAAACTGAAAAAAAAAAAGTGTGAGAAGAAAACCAGTAAAAGTTACTGCATATTCTAAATAATTATTAACATGCTTGGGAAGTTTAATGTAAATGTTAAAAACCTGACATACACAGCTAACTGTATGCTTAGATAAAATTCATAACATTAGATAATTTTGTCTTCAAACAAAAAAATTATTTAAACATTGAAGTCTAAATTATAGAAAATGATTAATAAAACAAAAATCCAAAGGGATCATTTGCTTGAACCAATGAGTGATTTCCCTATGTTTTCATAGAAAGGGTTTCTTCTTCAGTCTAGATCCTGAAATAAAGAAAACATGGAAAACTGAACTGAAACTACCATCATGCTAACTTGCAATGTGAGTGAAAAATAAATCTGTTACTGGGAGCCACTCTGCCAGGGTTCTTTTATTACCCTAGTATTTTCAGATATATTCACAAATATGAAATTGTGTGTTATACCTTCTACAGCCAAAGTTCCTCATATTTAACAAAGAAAATAAAATGCAAAATTTAAGAAAACTAGAACATTGCCTGATATTTCATTGCTAATTCAAAAAAGTCTCAGACAGATTGGGTTGAAAATGCCAATGAGCTCTTCAGAGACATCCATTGAATATGTGCCAGCTTTGTTCTCTGGTGTCTAGGCTAATCCAGATACATAATCTGCCTAAATTGCCATGAGAGTTACATCACATGTCTATAATTTTTTACCTAGCTATTTGAAAACATAATATCTGGGCATTTCCTTCTCATGAGACAAGGTTTAGATTATCTTGGGGGCTGGCTAATTTTGTATAATCTATTTTTCATTTTACACATTTTGTTATTAAAATGGAATAACTTGATCTCAATTTCTACTTATCATAGGTATTGACTTAAGAAATACAAGGAGAACTAAATAAGGGACCAGGAAAAAGAATAACTAAGAAAAAAATCAAAATCAACAAACAACTATGAACCAGAGACACACTTTGGGGGGTGGGGAGTGAGGAAAGGAGGGATTTGGGGTCAAAATCGGGGGGTTGCAATTGTATGGGGAATATAAAAATTAAAAAAAAAAAAGAAATACAAGGAGAAGAAAAGAATTACACTAGGAGTTTGAATACTAAGATATCTCATTCATATGACAAGACTCTAGTAAGAACTGAGTAGGAAAATTTGCTAATTCCATGACAGAGATACAAGGGAGAATAAGAAATAACAGGCAGTGAATTCACTGTAGAGCAAAGCAAGGAAACTCTTAACCTTTCATTGATGTGTCTCAGGGTTGACATGAAATGATAAGATAATTCTGATAGTTGGCTACTTCTATATCTAATGTGTTTATCATTAGAAGTATTTTTTTAGACTTGTTTAACACCTATGAAATAGTTGCTCTTAATACTGTTATTTTCTCACTTAGCGACACTTTATAGATCTGTGATGCAGAGATTTTGGGGAAAAGAAATTAGAAGGACTATATTTCTGGCTACTAATGTTCTTTGGGACTCTCCCATGACCTCCAACATGAACCACAAAAATGCTCTACTTACTGTGTCCCAAGGCCAGAACGTTCTTGCAGAACCCTCTGGATTTAATTTGGTACAAGTTGCGCTTGGGATTGTCTCCAAAAAAGCTAGCAGATATTCTGCTTTAAGGATTGGCAGAAAAAAAAATTTTTTTTAGACTAAGCTAAATTTGCCTCCTATTTCCCAGACTGCCACACCTCATATTGACCACATCACTGGGCAAGTCTTCTATCTCTCACTTCTTATTTAGACCTGCAGAGTTCTTTTGGAATTTTGTAAGACTTATATACTATGGAAATTAAAACCAGGCAATCTTGAGGATATAATTTTGAAAACATGAAGTGAGCCTGATGTTGTTCCCACCTTCACCCCATTTTCTGAAATTGCCTCTCTTGATGCTGTTGACCATAGAAATGTCTAAATGGACACATTCAGACAAGAGTCTAAATGGAGAGAAACAGCTCTTCCAGGTCGAAGATGATCAACAACCATTAGATAAAAAGATAAATTATCTTCCCCACTTAGTAGTTTGCCTTTTTATTTTTATGGTAGTTTCCTCATTATTTTAGTTTAATGTATCCCATATCTGATTTTTGCTTTTGTTTCCCATCAAAGTAAGAGTCCCAAAAGACATCTCTAAAGCTAATGTCAAGAAGCCTATCACCTATGTTTTCTTCCAAGTATTTTACAGCTTTAGGCTATACATTCAAATCTTTAATCCATTCCAAATTAATTTATGTGTATGATGTAATCAAAACTGCAGTGAGATGTCATCTCACACCTGTGAGAATAGCCTATATTAAAAATGTCAGAAACAACAAGTGTTGGTCAGTGAGTAGAGAAAAAGAGACCCTCTTACATTATTGGGGTAATGTAAAGTGGTGCAGCCCCTATGGAAAACAGTATGGCAGTTCCTCAAGTAATTAAAAGTAGAGCATCCACATGATCCAGGACTTCTACTTCTAGGTGTCTTTGCAATGAATACAAAAATATTAATTCAAAAATTCATAATGCAGCCCCAGGTTCACTGCAGCACTATTCATAATGACCAAGATATGGAAATACCTAAGTGCCCATCAAGGAATGATTTAATGAAAAAGATATGGTATATACACAAAATGGAATATTACTCAGTTATTAAAAAAGATGAAATTTTGCCATTTTCAACAACATGGATGTACCCTGAGATAATTTTATATATCCCCGGTGGCAGGGGAATGAACCGGTGCTGCAGAGGCTGTGGGCAGCCTCGCAGCCCAGCGCTCAACTGCTGTGCCACCAGGGGAGGCCCAAGATAATTATATTAAGCAAAATAAGTTAACAAGACAAATCCCATATAATTTCACATATATATTGACTATAAAGAAACAAACTCTTATACACTGATTAAAAAAAAATGTTATTACCCAAAGGGAAGGGAATGTGGGGATGGGTGGTGGGGTCAAGTGTATAATGGTGAAATGGAAATTAGATCTTTACATGGTGGGAGTGGTGTGGTATATACATTTATGAATGTATGAAGCTGTACTTCTCAAACTCATACAGTGTTGTAAACCAATGGTACTTTAGAAAAAGAATAGATTTGTGGGCCTCCCCAGTGGAGCAGCGGTTGAGCGCTGGGCTGGCTGGTTCGATCCCTGGCCGCCGGGGAGGGTCCCACATGGCATGCAGACCTCTCCTGCCGTGCCCGCTGCTCCCCTCAGCAGTGTATTTTGGTCCTTCTGCTTGTTCTGCTCCCCGCTCTGGCTCTGGTTAATTCTCTTAACCTCGCGCACTTCTCTCTGTACCCAGTGCTTGTATAAATAAATAAATCTTTGGAAAAAAAATAGATTTGTATCTGAAAACACACTGAAAAGGGGGAAAACGTCATTTTGGCAGCCACTTAGCAAGAACTTTTCAAACAATATAATGGTATAGATTGTAAAGATGAAAGATTGTGGATATGGACATCTAGCTATTTTTTGTATTGTTTTCCTTTCTTTGATGTTTCAGATTTTTCTTAATGCTGATCCATTTCTCATCTCACTATTGAATGGCTTCCATCCCACCATCCTATGAAATATTCTAGTGTAGGTCCACAACAACTCACATGTGTCAGTGCCAACAATCTTCATTCTCCACTTCTTTGTGATTAATGCTGTTATGTGCTCCAATAAAATTTTTTCTTTCCTTTCACAGGTATCTAATACCATCTTATTTTTCTTTTGTGTTTAATTCTCTTTTACAGGATCCTTTCTATGTCAGTTTTTAAAATATCTGTGTGTTTTAGGAGACCATGATCCTTGCTCTTTTCTTCTCACTCAACAAGGAGGTAACAGGGATAGGGTTGAGAGTATTATATCAAAATCACTTGTGAGCTTTTTCAATTTATATTCAACTTCTTCCAGAAATTTTGATGTAATCTTAAGGGGAAAGGGTACATTATGCCAACTTTTGAATGGACTAACCTAATGAATCACTAGTATTGATTAGATTGTGTTTTTATATAATTCATGAGAGAGGATTGATGAGAAAAAGAAAAAGAACAACTGCTCAACACCTAGTTTCAAGTGAATGCATTATTTCTTATATAACTACAACCACTCTGCCTGTAATTTTTTCCTGTTTTCCTAACTGTACAGGAAAATCTTCATCCAAACACCTAACAACTAACCTTAAAATCAAACTAAAAATGATCATGTCATCTTCTCCATCAAGTCTTCAACTCACCTGTCTTTCAGGAATAAAAACATGGAAGACCACATTCACTTTTCTCTCCTCCACATCTCCTTCAATTCCAATATGTAATAAGTCACAAACCCCACTGAGTCAACTTCCTACATATAATTGAAAGTGGCTTCTTTCTCAATTCTACCTTGGGTTTAGTCTCTCATC